GAAAGAAAGAAAGAAAGAAAGAAAGAAAGAAAGAAAGAAAGAAAGAAAAAGAAAGAAAGAAAGAAAGAAAAAGGAAGGGAGTATTCGGCTTACTCCTTTCCCCCTCCTTTCCTTTCCTTTCCTTTCCTTTCCTTTCCTTTCCTTTCCTTTCCTTTCCTTCCTTCCTCCCTTCCTTCCTTTCCTTCCTTCCTTCCTTTCTTTCTTTCTCTTTCTTTCTTCTCCTAAGAAGAAGCCTACACCTGGTTGATTCTTCATTCCATCCTGCAAATCAGCTAGCCTGGAATACGCTGTTTCTCTTATTCTTTCCTGGAGGAACCCAGTCTAACCTGTAGCAAGCTCTTTTTCTGCTAGTTGATAAGACTAAGAGGGGAGTTGCATTTAATCAGAAGCTCTTGAGTTTTTCTTGCTAGATGTTACAGTTTTTTTTTCTTCTTGCTATCAGGTTACAGATGCTTATATGTGCCCTCCGGTGTAGCAGGGAACCTCTAGGAACTTCCTTGGTTTGAGCTGCCCAGTCCTGCAATCTAGGAAGCCGGAGAGTAGAAAGCAACCAGAACAGTTGCTAAAACCCCAGCAGTTGGGTATTGTAGGATGGTCCCCGCCCACCATGGAGAAAGCTTTACGCGTGTCCCTACAAGAGGCCTTCAAATTCTCATGGCCCCTGAGACCAAGATGCCCACCCTGACTGAAAATCCTGCCCCCTGACCCACACTGTACAATAGGCTTAACTCTTGTTATGCAGATCAACTTGTCAACTCCAATATTTAATCAAGTGGAAAGACTACCCTTATCAGAGGCATCTTGGGTAATGGTAGAACCATGACACCCCAGGAAATGCAAGAAGTGTGCAAATGCATAGTCAAAAACTTACCAAGAGGGTTCATCATGAGCTCCCAGGCCCCAGTTTCTTACTAGGGAGTTTTAGCCTCCGATAAAACCCCTCAGATAAAGTCTCCTGATTTAATTAGGGCAATCACCCAAACCCTGACACAATTCTTCTTTCTAATGTTAACTCAGCCTTCCATCCTTCTGAGGTGGATAAAATCAGGACCAAGATTATTGGGGGCAATATGCTGACTCTGTAAACTGCTTAGAGAGGACTGTAAAGTACTATGAAGTGGTATATAAGTGAGCCCTTCCTTCCTTCCTTCCTTTTGTTTAGAGAGGGCTGTAAAGCACTAGGAAGCAGTATATAAGTCTAAGAGCTATTTCCCTTTTCCCCTTCCTTCCTTCCCTTCTCTTTCCTTCCCTTCCCTTCCCTTCCCAATGGTTAGAATGCAGTATTGCAAGCTAATTCTGCCCACTGCTGGTAGTTTGATTCCCACCAACTTAAGGTTGACTCGGCGGCCTTCCATCCTTCCAAGGTGGGTAAAATGAGGAGCCAGATTGTTGGGGGCAATAGGCTGACTCTGTAAACTGCTTAGAGAGAGTGTAAAAGCACTGTAAAGCAGTATATACATCTAAGTGCTATTGCTAAGTGCTATTGCTAATGAAGTAATCATACCCCACATACTGTCGCTTCCTAACGGGTGCCCAAGATCTGTTTCCAAGTCAATTAACCTTCCCTATTTCTGATATGTTTGGCACACAGAACATTTCCACTGGAGCACCCTCTAGAATTAATCTTTTTTTCCTTAAAAGCAAAGGCAACCACTTCAGCCTTTGAAAAGCGTAGGAAATGAAAGCGTGTTCTTGGCCATTTGAAAAAGATCTTTTTAGACAGCAGCGACCCAGGAATAAATTCAACACTTGAATTCCTGAAAAATGTTCAAAGCTCTCTGCAGCAAAGTTTCGCTTTCAAAGATAAAATGGGAGATATAGCTGCAAAGACACTGGACTTACATACAAAGACGTTGGCTGGGTTTAAACTGAATGCAGGAACAACTAAACCACAGCCCAGATGCTGGCGATAAGCCCTCTGAGATAATCCCCAAATATTTGGTCAATAAAATGGAGTATGATTTCAGGGGCAAGATTTTTGGCTTTCCTCCCGAAAAATTATAGCTGGGAGGCTCCCCGTTTCTCCCTTACCCATTTTCCAGGCTGATTTCAGCCTTTTTCAACCAATAAGCCCATACAGTTTATCTGAACCGCAGGAGCACTGGAGAGTAACCTCAGCAAGTTGCAATTGAGGAAATGGATATTATCCAAGTGGCCCATTGGGATCCCCATATCAAAACAACTTCCCTTTTGTGAGGCCAGAATCTGAAAATAACATTTAACACAGCACAGTACTTAAGTAAAATGGTTCGGTTGAGATTTGCATATGTGGGACCGATTGGGGTAGATTGTAGGGGTGACATTGGATTTTGTCATATTTTATCTAAATCTTAAAGTATTGTGTTTTATTCCAATTTCATTTTAGACTGTAATTTTATCCAATTCCATTTTAAATTGCTTTTATCAAATTTTAGTAATAATTTGTTTCTGGAACTCTGCACTTTGATATGACTCAAGGGCTAATCAATCAATCAATAAATATTATCCAACTGGTCACATCTCATTATCTTGTGGGTTGGGCATACTTCGCCCAGAATTTTTACCCTTTGGTGAGTTATAAAAATTCCATATTTGTGTGGACTCAAAAAAGCATAGAGATCCTTGAACTACGTTCTCCTCCTGGGAAGGTACAAATGGTGATACTAAGAGTTTTCCCACATCTGGAACATCCCACAATTTCTCTGTTTCCAAGTCTTCCTTAGGAAAACATTCTCACCCGAAAGAAAAAAAGTATGAAGAATCAACTCCCTCTCTTTCAATCTCAGCATAGAAGCTTTGCTCCGTCTTCGAGGGAAACTGTTAAGGAGTACTAAGATAAAGATTCTGAACATACAACATGCAAAGCAAATGTTGCACATTCCACCTGCGTGTTTAGTCACAAATACGTTCTGTTCCAGCCAGCTGAATGATTAAAAGAGAGAGAGAGAGAGAATGCTCTAAAAGGAAACATATTGCCCATTGATTTAAGACAGAAAATATCGGGGAAGGCTGTTGTGCAAGACATATTTTAACCTCTCACTGCATATTATTGCCTGCCACTGGTGTGAATGCATCCCATCTGTGTTTCTCTGAAAAAAAGGAGTCAGCTTTGTTCACCCTTTCTGCTATAAAGCTATGGCAATTGGAGGAGGAGGAGGAGGAAGACCAGAAGAGAGAGAGGGAGAGGAGAGGAAAAACAGGTCCTCCAGTACAGTACAGTAGTAAGACCAGAAGAGACTTGCCATAAATGCAATTTCAATTAAATTTGAACCTTAATTGAACAGCTCCTGTCCTAGGCATGGAAGTTAGCTGGGTGATTTGGGGCCGGTCATTCTCTCTTCAGCCTAAGAAGGCAATATTGGTGAACCATTCCTGAAAATGTTGCCCAGCAAACTGCAGGAATTTGTCCAGGCCATTTGTTGACTCAAACTCAATACTTTTAACAGAGATCTCACCCGTGGACCTAACCCATTTTCCCCTTTGGTTATGTTAAAAAGTGCAACTCCGTGGGAGCTTTTGCAGAACCTCTGAGGGCCATCTATCTCAATAGCCCGGGATTACACATTCCAAAGGGGTCATTCATCAACAGCTGGCAATTGTGTTTTTGGATGAGAGGCACAACAGTTGGCCAAAGCACGTAATATTACTGGGGAAAGAGGTTGGGGTGGGGGGAAAAATGCCTCTCTACACCTCCATCTCTTTCTTACCTACTATTATATTTCTTTAATCACATCATTTGCAAACTACAAAAACAAAAAAATTACACGGTGTGTGTTTTTGCCAAGCCAAATCTTTGACAATCTCCTCTTAAAAAGCTATTTCCTATTCCACTATTTATTAGAAAACACAGATGAGGAGCAATATTAGAGGAATTCAATAGATTTTTCTTTTTCCGTCTGCTGCAGCAGCCCTTGTGAATTTGCCCCTTACTCTCCAAACCCCTTTTAAAGCTTTTAAAGAGCCTCTTAACAATTATTTTGGAAGCCCTGCATGAATTACAAAGCCTCAACATGCAGTAAACAGCCTGCCTGGAAAAAAAAATTTTTTTCCAAAATTGCTCCTTGATCCATCGGGCCTAATTACCCAGTTTATTGTACTCCATCTGTCTTTAAAGTTAATCCCTGGAAATCCAGCCTAACTACCTTCATTTAGAGGAATCCAACTTAATCTCATGATGACCCTTTTATGGGTATTCATCTACAGCCCAACCTCCGGTAGGCTTACTCAGAAGTAACTTTCCAGTCTGATGCGTGTTTACTTCAAGCAAATCCTCTTTTCCAAAACTGGTTAGGAAGCAGTAGCTTTGCTGACTGGAACTGAACCTTCATTCTAGGAAGTGTGACTAAAATCGCAATCTTGGGCGACAGGCTTATCCAGGTTAAAAATCAGTTGTAGTTCTGGGGTCTTACTTCCAAGGAAAAGCTTGTCCTTTGAGAATTGTTATCAACATTTACTCATTTATCTGTGTTTTAATTTTCCACCTTTCTCACAGATCGCAAGATGGTATCGTCATCTCCTCCTCCTCCCTCCTCCTCCTCCTCCTCCTCCTCCTCCTCCTCCTCCTCCTCCTCTTCTTCTTCTTCTTCTTCTTCTTCTTCTTCTTCTTCTTCTTCTTCTTCTTTTATCAACAGCCACACGAAAAAGGGCAGTTGAGTTTTGTCCAAACCAGTCCCTTAGATTTTGAAGCCATGCTGTTCTTCTTCTGCCTGGATCTTCTGCCTTCAATCTTTCCCTGGAGGATGAAGTGAAGGGTGCCGTATTTTTCTGGGTGTTGCTTCACATGTCCAAAATATTCCAATTTTCACTTTTTTATGGTTTTAATGATTTCCCTTGGCTTTCCCAGGCAGCTTGTCATCTCCTTATTTCTGATTTTGTCAACCCAGTTTATACATAACAGCCGCCTGTAAATCCACATTTGAAATGCTTCTAGTCCAGTGGTGGCTAACCTTTTGGGCTCCTGTGTCAAAAATTGTGTGGATGCTGGCGCTCGCATGCTCACATGCCAGGACCCAGAAGGCAGTGCGCCCTGCCACGCCCTGTGCATACACGTGCAATCACCCATGCCCCCCCCTTACCTGCACTGCACCTCACAGCTGATTTTCGGCTGGTTTGAGGCCTTTTTTGGCCTCCCAGAGGCTTGAAAAAAAGCCTCTGCAGGCCTAATAGGCCCATTTCATCACTTCCGGTATTCCAGGAAGTGACTAAATGGGCCTATTTGGCCTGCAGAGGCTTTTTTTCAAGCCTCTGGAAGGCCAAAAATGCCTCAAACCAGCTGAAAATCAGCTGTGAGGTGCGCACATGCGCAATGAGGTAAATTTGCCCGTGTCTCATGTGCTGGCACAAATGTGTCTGGGTGCCACCTGTGACACGTGTGCCATAGGTTCATCATGACAGTTCTAGTCTCTTCAAGTGGCTTTCCTGTCAAGAGACCACTCATGAGATTAAGTTGGATTCCTTCACTCTGTAGAGCTCCGTATCTATTGTTGACCTCACTTAATTTCCTTCTAACCTGAACACCCTAAAATATCAGTTCTCCCAAATGTCTCCAGGGTCATTTATCTTCCTAAAAGAAACAGCCACTCCCGTAGGGTTGGGAGGCTAATCCACCCTTCCCCTTTATTCTCTTTTAAGCACGTGTACATCCTAGCCAACGGAGGCAAAAGATAACAGAGATTGAGTTCTTAGAGAAGCTTGGTTTTCATAGGGTCTCTCTAGCATTTTGTCAATCAAGAAGAGATAATACCTGTCCAATGTTAGCTAACATTAATTCCTTCCAAGATAGCTCTTGGAGCTAATTAACTGAGTTAGGGAAATTGCATGATACCGGAATTTCTCCTCGCATAATTAACTTAGTTAATCATGTGATGTAGACAAAGCCATCAAGGGGCTCAATCTCGACTTGAAGGAGATTTTCCATTTTTTTTTCCTCTCCAAATCATCAAAAATCCATTTCCTGTTTCTCCAGGGACTGTTTTTATGAAGGGGAAAAAGGAAATAAACCTCAGCTTTTACTATTCTGATCTTCTTTTCTTTCACAACCATATAATCAATTGAAACGCGCCATTTTTATATATATACTTTATAATTTTTTTGTTAAAAGTTTAAAATAGGACATAAAAACCAATACAAACTTACAACAATTTTAAAAAAGAAAATGAGAAACAAAGAAGTGTAGAAAGTAAAGATAAAAAGAAAAAGAAAAAAGCTTTTGATATTTTTTGCAGCAAATGTAAGTATGATTATCAAGTTATCTTTCGCTCTACAATTGCAAAAAAGAAAGGCTCACTTTTTTCTATTATCCATTTTTTTTTCTAATCATCAAAACCACAAATCATAAGTGCACTTTTTTCCTGTTTCATGAGGAAAAAAGATACCTAGCTGTCCGTCCATTAATCCTGAAAGTCTCTAGTTTCAATTGTCTTTAAAATCTTTTGAATTAGTGTAATTATTTGTATGCAATCTGATAGAAAAAAAACTATTAACATGCATATCCTTCTGCTATCAGATCTTATCTTGGTTTCTTCCTTTGAAAGAATTGCAGTACATCACAATAAGTTAACCATTTGTGTTTGCTTATCATCAAATGCTTCTTGTGCACAAACTAGATTTATATTTATTCCATACTCTACAAATGGCCTGCCTAACAAAACAATTTTTGGAAATCTACCTTAACCTTAGTTTTGTCATTCCATAACGATCCATGCCATCCAAATTTTAGATCATATCCTTCAAACTTACAATAGCCTTCTATTTCTTAATCTCTCATTCATCCAAGCTAAACAGGCAGCAAAAGTGCCATTTCCAATCTTATAGAGCCAATCCTTCTCTTTCCTTTGCACTTTGTAATACCTTATCGTTAACACGAGGGTTTTTCTCCCATCATACAAATTTAGATATATCCTTCCGTCATTATTTAAGTTTGCCTTTTTCAAAGGAGGAAAGGAAAATATAAGAGCATCCCATTTGCCTTTCCACTAGCTAGCCCATCCGTTCCTTCTTCCCTGCAAAAGTGGCTTTTATTCTATTACAGTGAGGTTACAATCCCTGACATTTCTTTTATTTCATTTTTTTAAGTAAAAGAATGAAAGAAATATATCTCTCTCTATCTATCTTGCACTGATTCGGGTAAATGCAACACCTTTCTAGACACAGCACTAAAAGGTTCCAAGACCCTCCTGCCAATGGCCATCAACAGCCAAAATCACTTTTCGTAATTACGCTTTCCATTCTCTTGTAAAGTAAACACATCATTAATACGGCCAGATAAATCATCGTTCCCTCCAAAAGGAAAGTGGAGAGGAAACAGTTTCAACTCGTAAGCCTTTCCCAAAGTGCAACCATTTGCCAGCTTGCAATCCCTAAAAGCTTTGTTTCATAAAAAATCATGAAACATCCATAAAGGAGACATCCAAGAGACGATGAAAGTCAATCTTTTGAGTCTCCGTGCCTTCATTCACACATTTCAAGAAAAGACTGGACTGCCATCTGGCAGAAATGGCGTAGGGTCTCCTGCTTGGGCGGGGGAGTTGGACTAGATGACCTACAAGGTCCCTTCCACCCAGGTTAATCTGTAATCATTTGGGAACAGGATAGAGTTTCCAACAGATACTGCTAGTCCTCACTTAAGAGATCACAATTGGAATCGGGAACACGGTTGCTAAGTGCCATGGCCACTAAGCAGATGATCCCCTACAGGAGGCAGGATAACCAATTTTGAAAGGTACCTTTAAATCCAACTCCCTGCTAGAGCAGGAGATGCTCTATCAATTCTACCAAAAAGACGTTGAGACTCTAGAAAGAGTGCAGAGAAGAGCAACCAGGATGATGAGGGGACTGGAGGCTAAAACACACGATGAACAGTTGCAGGAACTGGGCCTGGCTAGTCTAGGGAAGAGAAGGACCAGGGGAGACATGATAGAGGTCTTGCAATATTTGAGGGGCTGCCACAGGGAGGAAGAAGGGCTCAAGCTATTTTCTAAAGTGCCTGTAGGCCAGACAAGGAATAATGGATGGAAACTGAACAAGGAGAGATTCAACTTGGAAATAAAGAGAGATTTTCTGACAGTGAGAACAATCAACAAATGGAAAAGTTTGGATTACAGACTTTACAGAGTTGGAAGGGACCTTGTAGGTCATCTAGTCCAACTCCTCCACCCAAGCAGGAGATCCTACACCCTATTTCCCATTCATGATCATGTGAATTAACGACCGCAGCAATTTTGCTTAACACGAAAACAGGTCTTAAAATCAGGTGCGGTCTCCTGATGCCTCACTGGACAAACCACACCTCTTCACGGTGAATTTCCTCAATCCTAACAGTGGTCATTTGGTCAAGGATTGCCTGTAACCTCCCTCCCCCCAAAAAGGATGAGGAACCTTTGGAATTGAATCACCAGAGGTGGTATATTCAGCCAATTCTTACCAGTTCTGGAGAACTGGTAGAGGAAATTTTGAGTCATTTGGAGAACCGGCAAATACTGCCTCTGACTGGCCCCACCCCCATCTATTCTCCGCCTCCTGAGTCTCAGCTGATTGGCTGAGTTTTCTTTGGTTGCCCTGCATAGGAGAACGGAGCTGGAAAGCAGGTTAATGGGGTGAGGAGGGCATAGGGATTTTGCAGTAATCTTCCCCTGCCATGCCCAGCAAGCCATGCCCAGCAAGCCACGCCCACAGAACCGGTAGCAAAAAAATTTGAATCCCAACCACTGTAAATCTCCTAAGAGATTTGGAAGGCAAAGCAACTCTGATTTTCCCCAGCAAAATGACCAGGGACATACCCAATTCCAAAAAGAGCCCATAAAAAGAAAAGAGTTAAAGAATATTATGAAAAGTTATATGACCCAGAAAATAAGTCTAGGGAAAAAATAATGCCCAGGGATTTTCCCCCCCAGCACCAAGCGAAAGTCCAGCACGCCTGTTTGCGTACACGGCTCGCACACATGGACTGCTCTCTTTTGCACACCCTGCAGTCACGTCTAATCTCCTCAGCTCTGCACTGACCTACTGTTGAAGTCAACTGGTCGTAATCGGTCCCTGAGGACTATTTATCTGCTAATGCTGCTCGCACAGAAAGCAGCTTTTCCACGCCGTTGCAACAGGGCTCTAACGATCTCAGCCATTTTGGGGAGGGGGAATCCATTCGTCAAGAGTCAAGAATCATAAGGGACAACACTTAATGATAGTGATAGGGTACAATAAGCAATCCAATCATACTAGGAAACAGTCAGTATAAATCATAAGGCTACAAGCGACAAAGTTGCAGTCATACAGTCACAAGTGGGAGGGGATGGGTGATAAGGAGTGATGAGAAGATTAATAGTAATAGTAGTGCAGACTTTGTAAATAGTTGGACAGTGTCGAGGGAATTATTTGTTTAGCAGAGTGATGGCATTTGGGGGAAACTGTCCTTGTGTCTAGTTGTTCTGGTGTGCAGGGCTCTATAGCGTTGTTTTGAGGGTAGGAGTTGAAACAGTTTATGTCCAGGATGTGAGGGGTCTGTAAATATTATCACATCCTACTTTTTGGCTCATGCAGTATACAGGTCCTCAACTGAAGGCAGGTTGGTAGCAATTGTTTTTTCTGCAGTCCTAATTACCCTCTGAAGTCTATGTCTGTCCTGTTGGGTTGCAGAACCAAACCAGACAGTTATAGAGGTACAGATGACAGACTCAATAATTCCTCTGTAGAACTGGATCAGCAGCTCCTTGGGCAGTTTGAGCTTTCTGAGTTGGTGCAGAAAGAACATTCTTTGTTGTGCTTTTTTGATGACAAACCCAATATCCAATCGTTATGTCTTTATGTCTTTAACCTGAATCTAGATTTTCGTAGCCTTCTCCCAATTTTATCAAGGTTTTAAATTTGGAGTTGAGGAGGGTAGCAACGATATCAGTATTTCTAATCGCCCACAAATAGTTGTTGCAAACTGTTGCTTTCTGAAAAGCCGACTTTGGGTTGTGCAAAGCAATTAAAACCACTGCCTTTTTTCATCTGTATCCCAAGGCTATGTTGGTAGGAGAATTTTGAGAAGCCTCACGCATCTGGAAAACACCCCTTTAGAAATCCCACATGGCATAATCCCCTCATTTCCATTGAAGATTATGGGCTGCCAACCAGCAGATTAGCAAAATCTTATCCTGAAACCCTCTTAAGGATTACAGCGAAATGCGTATAGCGGTTCACCTCTGAGAAAGTTGGAAAGGTTATTGAGATGTCTTACTTGCTGTTCCACCACCGACCACAAGAGGACACCATCCACACATCCATAGGATTGTCTTGATTCCAGCACAGAACAAGATAAGGGTTGGAAGAAGTTACTAACCACTAGGCAAGACTTTCTAGAATATTCTGAAGATAATAAACAAAATCATTCCATAAACAAACACTTATGGTTAAGATCTCTTCGACGCTTGCACAAGTAGTCCTCAATTGAGCCCAAAGTGTCACAGATAACAGATAATCAGAGTTGGAAGGGCCCTTATAGGTCATCTAGTCTAACCCCCCCGACCAAGCAGGAGACCCTACATCATTTCTGACAAATGGCAGTCCAGTTGCTTCTTGAAAGCCTCCAGGGGTAAAACTCCCACAACTTCTAAAGGTAGCTTCTGCTCCATGGGTCAATTGTTCTCACAGTCAGAAAGTTTCTCCTTATTTCCAGGTTACACCTTCACCCTCATGAAGTGGATTTTGCTTCATTTTATGACTGTTTTCTTGCCACTGTTGTTAAGTGAATCATTCCAGCTGTTAAGTTAGTACAGGTAATCCCCGACTTGCAATAGTTCATTTGGTGACCGTTCAAAATTTATAAGGGCACAGAAAAAGAAAATGAGTTTTTCACACTTTACGACCGTTGCAGCTTCCTCATGATCCAAAATTCAGACACTCAGAACAACTCATTCATACCTTATGATGGTTGCAGCCTCCCGGGAGTCACACGATTCCCTTTTGAGACCTTCTGACAAGCAAACTCAATGGGGAAGCCAGATTCGTTTAAGAACCCGCGTGACTAACTTCACAACTGCGAAGAAAAGTCGTAAAATGAGGTAAAATTTACTGAACAGCTGTCTCAGCTTAGCAAGGTAAATTTTGGACTGAATTGTGGTCATAAATCATGGACTACCTGTAAAACGGTTGTTAAGTGAATCTGGCTTCCTTATTGACTTAGGAATAAAAGGGGAACTTACCAAATTTGCAGATGATACTAAGCTGGCAGGAATAGCTAACACTTAAGAAGATGGGCTCAAGATCCATGGATGGATCTTGACAGACTAGAACACTGGGCCCTATCTAACAAAATGAAATTCAATGTAGAGAAAAGTAAAGCCCTACACTTAGGCAAGAAAAACCAAAAGGACACATATAATAGACTGGGTGAAACCAGACTCAATAGCAGGAACTGTGAGAGGGATCTTGGAGTCTTAGTGGACAACCAGCTAAATATGAGCCAGCAGTGTGCAGCAGCCGCCAAAAAAGCTAATGCAATCCTAAATTGCATTAACAGAGAGATACAATCGAAATCAAGGGAGGTACTAATACCACTCTATAAAGCCTTAGTAAGGCCACACCTAGAGTACTGCATCCAGTTTTGGTCACCACACTAAAAAAAAGATGTTGAGACTCTAGAAGAAGTGCAGAGAAGAGCAACCAGGATGATTAGGGGACTGGAGACTAAAACATATAAAGAACAGTTACAGGAACTGGGCTTGGCTAGTCTAGTGAAGAGAAGGACCAGGGGAGACATAATAGCTGTCTTCCAATATTTGAGGGATGCCACAGAAAGAAGGAAGGGGTCAAACTATTTTCCAAAGCACCCAAAGGCCAGACAAGGAATAATGGATGGAAACTGAACAAGGATAGATTTAATCTGGAAATAAGGAGAAACTTTCTGACAGTGAGAACAATCAACCAATGGAACAGAAGTTACCCTCGGAAGTTGTGGGAGCGCCATCATTTGAGACTTTCAAGAAGAGATTGGAGTGCCATTTGCTAGAAATGATGTAGGGTCTCCCGCTTGGGTGGTGGGTTGGACTAGATGGCCTATAAGGTCCCTTCCAACTCTGATTATCTGTTATCTGACTTTGCTGGTCAGAAGGTAATCATGTGACTCCAGGACACGTCATAAATATGAGACAATTGCCGAGCTCAGAAGGAGATGGAAACCCCAGAAGGAATTAGCATTGGAAATAAAATGGCAGCTGGTTTCCAGGAGGCGAAGGATTATGTGCTGATACAGTTATGTAATAACAACATTAGATCAATGTAGTAATTGTTAAGATTGGCCGTATTAAAAGTTAGAATAGATAAACAAATTTAGAAATGGGGCAATATTGTTATACATACTTTTACTTAATACATCTAAAGTGAATATTACAGGTTAAGATCAGAGTTTGAAAAAGGATGCTCAAAAATAATGCTATTACTATTAGAAGGATGTAGCAAATATTAATAATTGAAAAATGAAGGATTGTGTGCCGATGTAGTTATGTATAACAACATTAGACTACACAAGTTGGATTAATTTAGTAATGCTTATTGTATTACTAGCTCGATACCCATGCTTGGCTATGTGGTTAGGCTTAGGAAAATAAGGAGAAAAAAATTCTGCCTCTGCCTACCAGCATCCATAGGTATTCATCTGGCTAGCATCCTGTCAGTGTGTGAGAGAGTGAGGGCAGTTTGGAAACTGAAACAGTATTTGCTGTGTGAGCAAGAAAGACAGCAAGGAGCCTGGGCATGGCTTAGCTCAACTGTTCTGTACTAAAGCTGGTTGTTGCTGTGAAACTAAAACAAACAAGGAAACTCCTCTCCTCTGCTTGTGTTTTGCATTTGGAACAGATTTCTTTTCAGGTGGGGAGGGGGAGTAGAATTCTTTAGCATCAGAGCGTGTTAATAATAATGATATAGGAAATACTAATGCTACGATAGTCATTTCAAAAAATCCTTTCTTAGTGAGCACCTAGAAGCCAAGAGGAACATAGGTGCCAAATTTTAAGTTTGTAGGCTTTACGGTTCTGGAGATTAAGTGATGATGCATGAGTGGTATTTCACTTTTATCTAGAGACAGATTGTTGCTGTTGTATCAAAATGGTTGACACTCAGATACCACACCATCCACGAAATGATATTGACGTATGTTTTAAACATAAAATAAAAAAGTTACAAAAAAAAAAGGCTTGCAAGGAGGATCAACTCGGAAAAGAAACAGCATCCTTGTCTCCATCTGAAACGCACCCTCTCCTTCTGCACGTTTTGCAGAGTTGGCTGTGGCAATGCCACACATTTAGCCAGCTGGAGGGACCCCCCCCCCCCCCCAAAAAAAGAGGGAAGCCCTCCAGTCTGCTCAGGGAGGATTCGAAAGCATCGTGACTCCACCCCAGTCCCAGCGTCTCAACCATCCCACTCTCTGGGACATAAAAGAGAGATTTGACACTCAAGGGGGAAGCAGCATGGGGAAACAGCTCCCGGAGGGGCCCCAGGAATTCTGCAAGGATGGCGTAAGTCCGTTACTTGACCCTTCTTTGGGGTGTGGGAGGGCAAGACCTGGGTGTGCGCGCCTCCAAAGAGGGATTGTTTGGTGGTTTTTCTGCATGCAGGTGCCCCATCAGCGAGGAGACATTGGCTGGCAGTGAGAACAATTCATCAGTGGAACAGATGAATTCAGAGGTGGAGGGTGTACCATCCCTGGAGGCTTTAAATAAGACAGTATAGAATAACAGAGTTGGAAGGGACCTTGGAGGTCTTCTAGTCCAGCCCCCTGCTCAGGAAACCCTATACCATTTCAGACAAATCTTATCCAATCTCTTCTTCAAAACTTCCAGCGTTGGAGCATTCACAGCTTCTGAAGGCAAGCTCTTCTACTAGTTAATTGTTCTGTCAGAAATAATTTTCCTTAGTTCTTCTCTCCTTGATTAGTTTCCATTTATCACTTCTTATCCTACTTTCAGGGGCTTTGGAGAATAGCTTGACCCCCTCCTCCTCTCTGTGGCAGCCCCTCAAATACTGGAAGACTGCTCTCCTATCTCCCCTGGTCCTTCTCTTCCCTAGACTAGCCATGCCCAGTTCCTGCAACCGTTCATCGTATGTTTGAGTCTCTGGTCCCTTCATCATCCTGGTTGTTCTTCTCTGCACTTCTTCTAGAGTCTCAACCTCTTTTTTATAGTGTGGTGACCAAACCTGGATGCAGGACTCTAGGTGTGGTCTTACTAAGGCTTGATAGAGTGGTATTAACACTTCACAACACGATGTTGATTCTATCCTTCTGTTAGTGCAGTCTAGGATTGGGCAGCCAATTTGCCTGCAGTGATGTAGGGTCTCCTGCTTGAGTGGGGGGGGTGGGGTGGACTAGAAGACCTCCAGAGTCCCTCCCAGCCCTATAATTCTAAAATTCTATTGATTGACTTGTCTGACACTTTCACAATCTCTCTCCTCCTTTCAGACTTACTCCAACAAGAAAGGGCTCTACAAAAGAGTCCAGATTTGGGCTGTTTTAACCTTCCTTCTGTTCCTCTCCCTCACCTTGACCATTCTGGGTATCTCCTATTTTTGGAAACCTGCTCCTCAAAAGGTAAGTTCTATTCTCAGGATTATATGGAGGAGATATTTTAAAGGTGGGGTGGGGAAACTGGATATTTCTATTGCACACTTTAAAATGAAGCGGAAAAACCTGTCAAAGTTTTATGTTGCGCTGCTGTTTCTTTTGGCAGCGGATTTTAGCTGTGGAAAGGCAGTGATTCCTTTTCCTAGCACACTGAATTGTGAGAAGTTCCTTTCCATTTTGTTTCAATTAATCGCCAGGAACTGGAGGAAAAACCCACTCCACCACGCGTTAAAGAAGTCGTTTGTTTTGGGGGGGGAAATGATTCATCTCTAGCCAGTTTAAATTGGACTTTCATGAGTTTGTAGCTGAAAGAGCTGAGAACTTTCCATATTTATTCAGTCATTTTATGGAATAATTATAAGAATTGCTTTCTGCCAATACCACCCCCAAATACATATATCCACTTTGTTTCTCACCTCAACGCAGCATTGTGGGATATGGGGGTTAAGGAAGTGGGTTTGCTTAGAAAGACTTGAGTTCTAATCTACCCTCAGCCACAGAAACTCTCTGGCTGAATGGGAGTCAGTTTTTCACTGAGAGAATAGATTTTGCCGGGAAAATTGAATGATGAAATACTAGTTGCCAAACTCTAAATGTAGAAACCTCCCAATTTAGACTGGAGCACAAAATCTATAGAGCAAATAATTAACCAGGAATACTTTCCAGATAGACCTGAATTCTGCATCCGATTTCATTTATAAATACAAGGTTCACTTTGGACATCAAATCTACTGCAGTCCCATCACTTAATTAGCCATTTTTCCACAGGTGGCCTCTCCAATGTACGCACGTGCACCCAAAATATCATATAATCCTGCAGGTTGTTTCTGAAGTGACGCTGCTCTTGATTAAAAAAAAAAAGGCACGGACAGTGGAATAGATTTGGGAGAGGATGTTCTTTGGGAACTCATTCTCAAGTCAGTTCTGCTACTGTCCTTAAAGGCAGCCGAGAAATGTCCGCCGGCCAAAAGCTGGTTGGCTGGCTGTGCGGTCCTGCCTTTGATGGCTTCCCTGTCCAAGGCCAGCATCTGTTTCCAATAAAGCTGCCTGCTGTTTGGGAGGCAGGACTGCAAAAACCATTTTCATTCCAGATGCCTGCAACCCCCAGGGATATTCGTGGAGAGGAGAGACTGTCTTGGTAACTTGGTGTACCCATGTAGGTGCCAGAAAAAATTTTTAAAAAAAGAAATTCTGCTCTGTTCTGTTGTTGCATTCTATTTCTATTCTATTCTATTCTATTCTATTCTATTCTAATTCTTTTCTATAATTCTATTCTATTCTAATTATGCTATTCTAATTCTATTCTATTCTAATTCTATTCTATAATTCTATTCTATTCTAATTATAATGCTATTCTAATTCTATTCTGTTCTCTATTCTCCCCTCTCCCCTCTCCTCTATTCTAATTCTAATTCTATTCTAATTCTAATCTAATTCCATTCTATTCCATTCCATTCCATATTTTCTATTCTATTCTATTCTAATTCTATTCTATTCTATAATTCTATTCTATTCTAATTATAATGCTATTCTAATTCTATTCTAATTCTAATTCTAAATCTATTCTATTCTAATTCCATTCTATTCTATTCCATTCCATATTTTCTATTCTATTCTATTCTATTCTATTCTATTCTATTCTATTCTATTCTATTCTATTCTATTCTATTCTTGTCAGTGACCTTCCTGTCCACTCTCTGAGGCATTCCACAACTTCCTTTTGCAGTGACATTCCTGGTATGACTGATTTCCTGTCCATTCTCTGCGGCCATCACCCTCCTCCTACTCTATCATATCAACTACCAAACGAACAATGAGTGCCGGGACAACATTTTTGTGTCAAAATGCATTGAGTCCCAAATTTGACAAATTTTGAAGCCGGAGGTACCACTATGCTGGGTTTATTCTCCTGCCTGGACCATCATCAACTTCTCCAAACCTAGAAGGTTGAGATATAAACCACAGTCTCAAGCGTCTCTAGTAACTGCATGTCCCAAAGTCCATGTTTTCTTCTTCCTTTAATTCCCTTAATTCATATTGTACACAACATGCCTCTTTCCAGCTTCCCCGACACGTTGTCCTCTTTCACAAATGAGTTCAACATTCCATACAAATCCAGGAAATTGGGTAGTTCAGAAATGCATGGTTGAGCAAAGCGTATCATTGCAAATGTGGGCACTGCTTTCAATCAAAGATGGGAGACTCTCGGCTCTCCAGATAATTCTCCAATCCCCAGCCAGCTGTCCAGGATAATGGGAGTTGTGGCGCTACATCTAGCAGGCCAGCTCCTGTCCCCTGATTTAAATCAACCCCAGTGGAACAAATAATCGCATCTCAGCATCAGGAAACTACTGTTTCCTTAGCCATCTGTAACACCTTCCAGGAAAAACAAATTGCATGAAAGTCTGGTTTCAAATGTCGTTTTAGCAAACAACAAAGAAAGGACAGCAGCGCAATTTGAAAGGGGAAAAAAAAGATCACTTTCATCCTGGTCCCAAAAAGTAAATACAGAATATATAAAAAAAAAAGTAAACACAGGAGCTTCATACTTTCATTCTGGAGACCAAAATGCTGAAGTTAAGTGCAGGAGGAAGATATCCACCATTAACGCAGCATATCAGCCTTTCCTTCAGGCTTCTTCCATTTATTTTAATTGCCCCGTGACATCTGTAAGATGATAAGCATCAGTGGTTTGCATATGGAAATACTGATTCCCATCACTCCAAAATACAGACTTGGCTCACAAATCACAACAAAATGCTTTTGTCATGGCTTCCAAGCAATACATCCATAGCAAACAGAACTCCAAGGCAGGTAGGTTCCTCAAAGAATAGCTTTATTGGATATATCATATTGGCACAGGCTGGTGAAAACCGACTCTGAATGTCCCTGTAGTTTTCACCTAATTAAAAGATTTTTTCCCCTTTCCCCAAACAATCAGTCATAGGGTCCAATCAAGGTACCACTCAGTTACCTGGTAACTACACTCCTCCTCTCTCCGACCACCTGTGAGAATGTCCTTGGTTCCCAGGAGAAAGTATTTTGTTTTGGCTACAAAACCCCCAGCTATCTCTATTCCTTCCTCCTTCTCCCTCAGCTCAGGTATGGCAACACTGAAGCATCAAAATGGCCTCAGCCAGGTCAGCTTCAGGGTTGACAGATGGCCCCCCCTTAATTGAAAAGTTATTCCTGCAAGGAAAAGAAATCCAAGAATATAGAGTAACAGAGTTGGAGGTCTTCTAGTCCACCCGCTTGCTTAGGCAGGAAACCCTCCACACTTCAGACAAATGGTTATCCAATCTTCTGGAGAACCGGTAGTGGAAATTTTGAGTAGTTCAAAGAACTGGCAAGTACCACCTCTGACTGGCCCCACCCCCATCTATCCTCTGCCTCCTGAGTCCCAGCTGATCAGCTGGGTCTTCTTTGGTTGCCCTGCACAGGAGAACAGAGCTGGAAAGCAGGTTAGTGGGGTGGGGAGTGAATAGGATTTTGCAGTAGCCTTCCCCCTGTGTTGTGGTTCACCGGCCGCAGGTGCGGACGGCTGAGGTGAGTGAGGACTCAGGTGAGAGGCCAGGACCATTAGGGAGTGGATTGCTGCCTTCAGAGATTGTGGGGGCTGGCAGCAGTGATGAGGAGGTTCCCGAGGAGCCTGTGCCAAGTGCACGTGCACGAAGGATTGCTCGTAGGAAAGAGCAGTTGCAGCAGCACGGGTGACTCGGGAGTAAGGCTGCAAGGTAATGGCCCCTCCTTCCAGAAGATAAAAGCCAGCTGTGAATAGGACGTTCTTTGTGGGAAGCAAAGACATTTTGAAACTCCAGCCTCGTGGACATTGCAGTATCTTAAGTTGGTATTTGAAGACTCCTGTGTTGTGAAATATTTCTTATCTGTTATTCTTGGCAGCCTCGCACAGTTTTGGCAAGGCTTGTGCTTATCAAAGTAGTTTGCAGCAGCCTTTTAACCAGGGCTTCATAAGAATCATTAAAAGGTTTCTGTTCCCTTTGCTTCGTGTTTATTTTATTGGAAAAGGGTTTGAGTCAGAACACCCTGGAGTGGGGTGGGAACGGAGATTTTGCAGTATCCTTCCCCTGCCATGCCCACCAAGCCACACCCACCAAGCCACACCCACCAAGCCACGCCCACAGAATCCACAGTAAAAAAAAACATTGAATCCCACCCCTGTTGTAGGTGCTTCAGCACTGGAAGTTTTAAGAGAAGACCGGACAGCCACTTATCTAAAATGGTATATAGGGTGTTCCATTTGCGCAGGGGGTTGGACTAGATCTCCAAGCTCCCTTCTGATTGCTTCGGAGGGTCAAGCTTTGTCGTGAAAAGAACAGCATATGTCCTGTGTATGACACGTCACGGTCTTCAGACATTCAAGCCGAGCCAGGAACAACATTGCACCTCGGATAATAAATCCGTTTTCATTTTAATTTCCAATTAATTAGCATTGAATTGTGCTAATTAAATCTCATTAATATGACAACTCCCTCTGCGTTTCATCACCTCCCCTTTCTGATGCATTAAACATTGCAATTTGGGGGAGATATTTTTAGAGGCTCCCGGGGACTCGAGCCGTGTGATCAGGCCATAAAGAAAATTCCTGCTGCTGCTCAGGATAACAGCGAAACGACGCCATGAATATTTCAACTTTATTGCCTCAGAAGCAAATAGAGTTTATACAAAGCCATTCTTCTTCCAAGCTTATATGTCCTCTCTCAGGGCTTGGCCACAATTCTGTTTTAGCAGGACCCAAACTCTTTTTTTCAAACGAAGAAAAATGAAATCCAGTCAGCTGTAAATATAACCCTCGCCCCCGCCCAAAAATGTTCCTTGCAAACAGAGTGGAATTTCAAGATCTTTTTTCCAGTCTGTCTTCAGATGCCACTAGGTCTGGCCTAAAGCACAATCTGTCCTCCGGGATTATCTGATGAGGCTTTTCCCCCCAAGAACCTACCTTCAACTTTCCATGCTGTGAAACCTATTGGTGTGTGAAATTTCAAGAATTCGCTAAAGGTCCGAATGGAACAAAAGGCTGGAATTTCAGATGAAAAGGATCCCGGTTTGAATCCAGCGTAGAATATTTTCTAGTAAGAAATATTCTGTCCTAGAAAATATGTTAGGGTAGAATATTTGTGATGACCCGGGGTGTGGCACAAAGGCAACACAAGTCAGACAATCAGTAGGAGTCCCTTTATTAGCTCCAACTTTGCCCCCAATGTTCTGGTTACCTTCTGGCTGGAGAAAAACTCTCCCAGGAACAGCCTTTGACTGCAGAGAATCAAGTCCAAAATGTGGTCAACAAAAACTGTAACTATAAGTCCAATTAAGGCAAAATGAGGTAATTAATCCATTACGGCAGGGGCAAGAAGTCCAGACGTGAAGGCATGGCTGTAAATCAACCCAGTTGGGAAGTTGCCAGGAACATAGATAACTAAAGTCAACACAAAATAAACTCATGTTTGCTCCCAGCAGCTGCTGCAGTCAGCATGCATTTCTTTTAAACTCTCGTTCCCAGCTGTCACTATTGAAGGGAATCAGGGCCCTTTCCTCCCCCGTAAGCCAAGCAACCCACATTGCTCTCTTCTCCATTCTTCTCTGCGTGCTCTAGGATGAAGAAGGGGTGAGCCTGTGTCTTCCTCTGAACTCCCTCTCCCTTGTTCTACCTCTTCCCTGCTCTGCCCAGCCGGACTTTGCCTTTCCCCAGCCTCCTCCACAGCCAACGGAGCCACACTCCCACTCCCTGTCAGCTGTTCATCTTCCTCCTCGGATTCAGACTCCAACAGGGGCATGATGTATTTTCTTCCTTCTTTGTAGCCTGCTCGGTTCAAAATGGCTCCGTGTGGCAACAAAACAAGCACATCACAATAAAAGGCAGGTAGTCCTTGACTTAGGACCACAACTGAAGCCAACGTTTCTGTTGCTGAGTGAGACGATCACTTCTGGTATTTCCAGAAATATGAGAAGTGATGAAACGGGCCCATTTTTCGGCCTCCAAAGGCTGTAGAGGCTTCCCTCAAGCCTCTGGGAGGCCAAAAAAGACCTCAAATGGGCTGAAAATCATCTGGGAAGCGTGCACATGCGCCATGCAGATAAGGGGACGGTGGGGTGGATTGTGCATGCATGCACAGGGGGCAGGGGGACACGTGCATTGCCTTCTGGGTGCCTTCTGGGTGCTGGCACACAAGCGTGCATGCAATTTTCGGCACAGGAGCCCAAAAAGGTTAGCCAACCACCGCCCTAACCAAACCATGCCAAGGCTTAGCGTACTGTGTGACCAACCACTGCAACACATTCATCCTCTTCCCCAATCTGTTTTTCAGATTTATGAACTGGAGCACATGTTTGTCAGCAACATGGAAAAGCAGAAGATATTACTGAAGATCGATCCCTTCACCTGGACGGAGACCTTTCATACCGGGAAGGGTCGTGAGGAAGTCCTTGAAATACACGATTTTAAGAATGTACGTATATCCATTTCCAGGATAGAGTCGGGTCAGCCTGGTTCACATCTCAGCTACCGTCTGCCTGAATAATCCCACCTTGTTTAAAAGCCAAAATCCAAGGTGTCGCTTCTTTGCACGGACTCAAGCAAATTGGCCAGTTTTATATCATGTGCACTGAAGGGACACGGTGGCTCAGTGGCTAAGATGCTGAGCTTGTTGATCAGAAAGGTCGGCAGTTCAGCGGTTCGAATCCCTGCTGAATCCCTAGTGAGCTCCCATTACTTGTCCCAGCTTCTGCCAACCTAGCAGTTCGAAAGCACGTTAAAAATGCAAGTAGAAAAATAGGGACCCCTTTGGTGGGAAGGGAACAGTGTTCTGTGTGCCTTTGGCATTTAGTCCTGCCGGCCAGATGACCACAGAAACCTCTTCGGACAGCATTGGTTCTTCAGCTTTGTAACGGAGATGAGCACAGCCCCCTAAGAGCTGGAAACGACCAAAACTTATGTGCGAGGGGAACCTTTATCTTTACCTATGTTGTGCACTAAGCCAATAAACAACATTACGGCTTACTTCAGTTGGTGGACCAAGCAGGACTGAGTCAACCCTGGAATTTCTTGATTCATAGCAGAATCTCTTAGCTAACAGGCAATGCCAATTTGTTTTAAAAAACAAGGAAGTCAGTAGGAAGGGGAAAATATTTATTAGAATACAAAGCATTCAAGCAAAACCTCCATGGCGGAACCTTCTGAATCCGAAGTGTTGTTTTGTTGTTTTTTTCATTTATTTTACATTCAGACAGCAAATCAGAGGTGCATAGAAGTATTTATAGAGTGCCAAAAAAGATTTACTTCACTGTGCCCCACTTTTGCTGCAACCGAAAATGGATATATATCCTGGATTAGAATTACCGTGGGCTTGCAGATATACCTCTGTTGCGTTCGTTTCTTCCACCGCCTTTTACCTGGTTATATTTTTGCTTTTCTTGCAGGGAATAACTGGTCTCTTTTTCATGGGCGATCCCAAATGCTTTCTCCAAAATCAGATTAAAGGGATACCAGAAGCATCGCAGATGGAGATGGAGGCGCCGGAGGTATGCAGAAGGAAAAGAATGTGCTGAATTAAATAAAGGGTTTCTGGCCGGCGAGCAAATTTATAGCAGCTTGGAAAGGACAGAGGAGAGTAATCCCCATTGGTTTTTAAATCACTCACAGGCCAGAGAGAGAAACTGAGATTCAACATATGCTAAAGCTAAATGGAGTCTTCCCTAAAACAAGGAAGATGGAATCAACCGTAAAGCCAAACGCAACCCAGCTGAGATGAGGGTAGCAAGGAAAGAATAAGTGAAATATCATCCACATGGCAATGATCGTTTTTCAATGTGTTTAATCCCTTTAATTGGACTTATGGCCTTCTCTTTTTTCCAAGCCTCCCAGAATTTTCCAATGATGCTTTCCTTCGCACTTGGTGTGCAAAAACTTCGAAGCAAACAAGAGAATATTTATAGCTCAGGGTTGAAATGAGGAGCCTTTGTGGTCTCTGAGCTTGGTTGATTTCTGGAGGCGTTTCATTACCCAACTAGGTAACATCATCAGTGCTAGTCCAGATTCTTACCATAGTTTCTCCATTCTGTGTTACCTGCACTGAATTCATTTCATTTCTGCAGTGAATTAACTTAAATGAAATTTATTTACTGGCCTGGCCCAAAGGTTTTAGAGTGTGCTTCCTTACGTGGCTTTCAAAAGGCAGATATTAAGCTGTGCTAGATCAGAAAGCGAGAATTATACAGAGTTCAGTAGGGAAAAGAAAAGAGAATTTCTTCAGCCATATGAAGCTTTTTGAGGAATTTGAAATGCTTCCACCCAGGTAACTTGTCACCTGGGCTGAGTTACCATTTAGGGGACTTGCCTTCGATCCCTTGATAATTTCATGTCTATTCTCCAATCCTTTCCCAGACTCTCCCAAATCGGATTCTTAGCATGGACAACATTTGTTTAAGTCTGAAAGTTGAAATTTCTTCCCAGGACGAGACCCACAAGATGCCTCAAAGATAATAACTCAGCTTCACAAGGCTGTGAATTCTCTCCGATTATTTTTTCGTTCCAAAAGTAAACTCAGTCCTAGCTATAATAGTGTCACACACTGCAAATAAAATCCAGAAAAAGGAAGATGCCCTGAAAAACTTTATCTTACAATTCTATCCATCAATAAGTAGCCACGCCAGTTAAATGCAACCTCTCTACTTTCAAAAAGCATGCAAATATTTTCAGGATATTTGAACTCTTTTCAAAAAAGAGTTCAATCCCCATTCAGAATTCAAAGCGCCGCATTGTGCGAGCAAAACAGCCAAAAAAAGGGGCTGCTTCAATCATTTCAGAAGCGTTTTGCGGTGGGAAAGCCTTTCTTCCGATCTCACCCCCCCCCCCCAAAAAAAAACCCCAAACTGCTTCCACGGTGATCCAAACATCCTATTTCACACTTAAACTGGTGTGCCGAATTTTCAAGGGCTTCAGTTCAGACTATTTTTCATGTTTCTCGCGTTACAGGGCAGGCTAGCAAATTGAGAAGGTCAGGGAAAGAAACAAAAAAAAAATATTTTTGTATTCCCTCAAGAATCTGAGACACTTCCATTCCCATCGCAGGAATTCCAGTTCCATTTTATTTATTTTTTTCTGTTTGGCGGCTAATGGATCAAGAAAACACGCCTTGGTTTTTTGTGAGTGTGACATACTTCCGTGTTTTTTAGCCCAGGAAAAAAGAATGGTACCCCAGAAAAAATATATATATCTATAATAAGAATAATAAACTGGAGAGGGAAGATCTGAACTGCTGCGCCAGCATAATTCTTATGGCATGAGACTATCTCCTGTCTTGCAGGCAGAGGAAATAGGCATCACCTACTTTGAGCAATCAGTGCTCTGGGTTCCAGGAGAGAAACCAATTGAAAACAAAGATTTTCTGAAGGATTCCAAGATGTTTGACCTCTGCAAAAACGTTACTGCCTATTGGGTCCATCCCACTCTGCTAAGAGGTAAGGCGCTCTTCTCTCAACATTATACTGCCGGAACATTATCCAATGTCACAAAGGGCTTTTTCTGATCCTTTTTTTTTTTGTATTTAGCATGGGTGCCCCGTTATTTAATTCCCACATTTTGCTTTTATAAATATGTCAGACCTGCCCCAGTCCGTTCTGTTAGGGGAGGAAAACTCTCAACTCCGTTTGGTTGATGGGAAAAATATTGATGGGTTTCAGAAAAGCCAGGCAGAATCTAAGGTTCCCATGCAACAATGCAGAACTATTATGCCCCTTGGTTCTCCATCCCTACCCACAATGCCAGTCTGTCTTTAGCCAATCCAATGTTGCCGAGATGTTTTGAGAAATGCTAAAGGGTTGAGGTTGGTGAAATTCCACTCTCGGGGCAAATGGCCTTGAAGATTCCTGGCACACACTGGATTCCCAAATGTTCTGCTCTTCTTCAACTTCTTCCCCACTTCTGAATTCCCACCATAGGCACATACAGATTTATTGCCCACTTGTTCCCCTTCCCTTCCCTTCCCTTCCCTTCCCTTCTCTTCCCTTCCCTGGTGCTTTGATGGCAGGACGCCAGTGAGGCGCCAAGCCAAAGATGACATAATAACTGAACACAGCAAACCTATCTCCTTCTTCCTCCCATTTTCATCACAAACACAACCCTGTGAGATGGATTGGACTGAGAGAGAGGGACTAAGTCACCTAGTTAGCTTTCATGCCTAAAATGGGACTAGAACTCCCAGTCTCCTGGTGATTGGCTCAAAGCCACTAAGCCAGCTTTCATGGCTAAGGCAGAACTAGAACTCGCAGTCTTTGGATTTCTAGCTTGGTGCCTTCACCACGACACCCTTCTTTCTAAAGGGCAGGAAAACGTAGCTATGTGACTGCATGGAGGGGGCAACCGTCAGAACTTTGGAAGCAGGTCATAAGTAGCCCTGGGAGGTCTGTCATAACTTCGAACATTCCTAAGCAACTGGTCATAAGTCAAGGAGTATTGGTAGCTTTCCTTTCTTCCCTCCCACCCACTTTATAGATATTTTTGCAGAACACATTTAATTACGGCTAAGTGGACTTACTTGTTTGACCCCATAAAGCAAAATATTTGTAGCTCAGGGTTAAAATGAAGGCTCCTTGGTGCTCTCTGAACGTGGTTGTTTTCCTGCAGTTATTTCATTACCCAACTAGGTAATATCAATGGGGGGGGGGAGGAGGAGGAGGAGGAGGAGGAGGAGGAAGAAGAAGAAGAGAATGATGATTATGGGGTCCTTGGTGCTCTGAATTTGGTTGTTTTCTTGCAGATGTTTCATTACCCAACTAGGTTACACAGTGTGGGTAATGAAATGTCTTCAAGAAAACAACCAAATTCAGAGACCACCAAGGCCCCCACATTGTTTAATCCTATTTCCTAGGATTGCCTAACCCATTGAATTGTAAAGTGGATGGATGAATTCATCACCTATTGCTTGCTGGGTAAATTGTGGGGTTCAAACACCACCTAATAGCCTGAAATGATCAAATTGAAGGCAACTTGCTGAAAGATTTGAAACTGACAAGGGCAGAGACAGGCACATCCAGCCAGCCTTGATGGTTCTCTTGATGATTTCTGTAAATTGCTTGGAAAGTTTTTAAGCAAGCAAAGCTGCCAGAAATATTTTAAATGCAGCGAGGCTCTGCATCATTAAGCCAACAATGCTTTCAATCATATTCTGAAGTGGCATTTGGAATCGCTGGATGAGCTTAGTCAAGCCAAAAATTAAATCCAGAACAGCAGAGATGCTCTGGCTTAAGGAACTGACCAGCCTGTGTAGGCAGCAGCAGGGTGATTATGCTATCTAGTCTATTCTCCAAAACACCTGAAGGCTTGGGAGCAATGGGTGGAAACTACTCAAGGAGAGAAGCAACGGAGAACTAAGAAGTTTGCTGTGAGTGAGAACAATTAATCACTGCAACAACTGGCCTCCATAAGTTGTGGGTGGTTCAATGCTGGAGGTTTTTTAGGAAAAGTTTGGACAACCATTTGCCTGAAATGGTATGGGGTTTCCTGCCTTAGCAGGGGGTTGGACTAGAAGACCTCCGATGTCCCTTCTAACTCTGTTATTCTGTTATCATCCCAACATTTTAGACTTTGAAAAAGGAAATGAGGACCCGATTCCCACGGATGAGCGAAACCAAGCAGATGTTCAGCAGGGACGCTGGTCCTTAAGCGAGGAAGAAAGCCAAGGCTCCAAACGCCAAGCTCGGCAGCTAGACGAAGAAGATTTACCAGTGAACGATTACGTAAGTCTTCGGAATTGAAAAACCAGGCTATTGTCACAAGGCCATTTTCGTGCCCGGATTCCAAGCCAAGTGTAATTTTCAGCAATCTTTTTCCACAGAGCCGGGCAGTCCTGCTCCTTCAATTAAGCAGCCCCCCTCCTACAGCCCTCAGAAAATATGCTCAACATTTCTTGCTTTCAAAGCATTGTGGAAACTCAAAGAATGCAGAGGACGGGAGAGGCCAGAGTAGCCAAAAGACGAGTGCTATGAGTTTGCACCAGAAAGCAAGAGTCGGGGAAGGAATTAATGAAAGGAGGAGTAAGAGAATAGTTGCAACAGAGATGGGATATGTTGCATCCTGGCCTTGCCAGAAACTATTGACATGGAAAGGAAAATGTTGCAGGAAAGAGATGTAGCATTGTGAACTAGGTTGTCTAGCTTTGACTAGCTTGTCTCTCTAGCAATAGCACTTAGACTTGTATACCACTTTACAGTGCTTTACAGCCCATCCTTCCGAGGTGGGTCAAATGAGGACCCAGATTGTTTGGGGGAAATAGTCTGACTCTCTAAACCGTTTAGAAAGTCAGCCTATTTCCCCCAAACAACCTGGGTCCTCATTTGACCCACCTTCGAAGGATGGAAGGTTGAGTCAACCTTGAGCCTGGTGAGATTTGAACTGCCAAATTACAGGCAGCTGGAAGTCAGCAGAAATAGCCTGCAGTACTGCATTCTAACCACTGTGCCACCATGGCTAGCTGATCTTGGAGACAATAGATATAATCCATCACCTTGGCCTTCCTGCCTTCAGAACCGGATGTAGTCCCAGTAACTGGGTTTACACATGGCAGTTAAATCATTAAGTCTGCTTGGCTTCACCAATGAGCAACCAGTGAACATAAGCCACCAAAGCAAGAATCAAAAAAGTATCAATATGTGAACTTGTTCGCTATACCCCAATTCACACTTGTGTGTTTCTTTAGCCAAAGTGCATTTGTTGATTGGCTTAGCTCCTTGTATAACCTCAACCATAGACTCTCTTCACACTTGGTGGGGATTCATCAGCATGTCCCATAGATCAGGGGTTTCCAACCTTGGCAACCTAGGTTGGCTGTGGAATTCTGGCAGTTGAAGTCCACAAGTCTTAAAGTTGCCAAGGTTGGAGATCCTTGTTCTATGGGATGTGCCCATGGATTCCCACCAAGTGGAAACCCATGGCTG